ACAGCATTAGAGGAGGAAAAGTTTATTTGGGGGCTCTCGGTTTCAAAGGTCCCGGTTCACAGAGAGCAGGCTCCATTCCTCAGAGCTCGAGGTGAGGCAAGACATCATGGTGGAAGCATGTGATGGAGGGAAGCAGCTCACATGACGGTCGGGAAGCGGAGAGAGCTGTTGTTGGTATTCTTGATGATTGCCATTCGATCTTGAGTGGGATGAAATTCCAGTGTAGTTTTACTTTGCTTTTCCTTGATTGCTAGGAACGTTGGACATTCTCTCATGTATTTGTTGACAATTTGTGTTTCTTCCTTTGAGAAATGTCTGCTTTGTTCTTTTTTGCCCCTTTGTTTATTGAGTTATTGGGTTTTTTGATGTTAAGTTTTTCTGAGTTCTTTATATATTCTGGATATTAATCCCTTGTCAGTGGAGCGACTGGCAAAGACTTTCTCCCATTTGTAGGCTCTCTTGTCATACTCTTGTTGACTTTGCTGTGCAAAAGCTTTTTAATTTGATGTCATCTCATTTACTGATTCTTGGTTTTATTTCTTGAGATTTAGGGGTCTTGTTAAGGAAATTTCCTGTGCCAGCATGTTGGAGCACATAAACACTCTTTCAAATGACTTCCAGTATGATCTTAAATTTTATTGCTGAATTCTTAGCTATTTAAAAAAAAATTAAGATTTTTTTTTTAGTTTTCTCGATTTCCCAATGTTTTCCTTTCTTTTTTCTTTTTCACTTTTTTACCTTTTTCCCCAATATTTTCCTTTCTTTCGTTTTTCTTTTTTACCTAGAACACCCACACCTTTGGTTGTATGGACTCCTCAAAACTTTCTCATGGTTTAATGAAGTAATCCTGTATCATGGGAAATAGTCATTGTCTTCATCTCAGGAGACCCTGGTCTAGAACTCTCTCAGCCTCAGCATTTTTACCGTGAGTCTGTTTTTTGATCATGTCCACGTCTCGAGTAATTATGCTAAATGAGTGATTTTTGAGAACGGCCTTTCGCTCTCTTTTCTGTGCCCCTGAATTTTCACAGATTGGACATATGTTCTGAAGCCAGAGGGCACCTGGAGTCTGAAGCCCCCACCCAGTTCCTGGCCCACTCGGGCTTGTTTTTTCCTAACTGTAGAGTCCCACTCACAGTATCATGGCAGTAAAGTTAAGCCTTTGAATTTTAGATTAGAGGGAAAGGGTCCTTTCAGAAAAGTTCCATTATGGACAAAAATAAAAGGTGACGATGCAGGGGTTATCTACAGGATTGCAGGTTTAACTGAAGACTGAGAGGAAAACGGAACTGTGGGAAGGGCTCCGTCCCCAGATCCTGTTAGCCATCCAGGCCATTTCCAGACCAGCCTGCTGGACTCCTCCGAACCAAATCCTTCCCCCAGTCTAGACGGAGCGCAGCTGATGGGTGGGGTCACACTGCACCTGCCTGTCTCCCTACCTGCATCCCACCTGTCCGCAGCTCGGCAATGTCCGCTCTTAGCGTCCTCTCATCACTGATCTGTGCTTTTATTCACGGATCCCTAGACTTTTACCTGGTTTCTTTTCCTCTGTATTTTCCTAATGTGTAATTGCTTACTTTCAAACATCTCACACACAGTCATGTGCTGTGTACTGACATTTCAACCAACAATGGACTGCATGCATGCTGGCGGTCCCAGGAGACTACAAAGGAACTGGAAAATCCCTAGTGATGGTGCAGCCGGAGGAATGTTGTCGCACAGTGCGTTAGTCACATTCGCAGTGACACGGTGTGAACAAACTTACTCCACTGCCACTTATACAAGAATACAGCACGTGGAATTGTGTACAACAGAAATCCAGGATGATGATAATAAGTGACTTTGTTACTGGTTTATATATTTGCTATTCTATACTTTATTGTTTTAGAATGAACATCTACCTACATAGAAAAGTTTACTGCATGCTCTGTGACCCTAACAGCAGCCCGGTACATCTTGGGCTCCCATATCTCTTGACTGCAACAAGAGGCTGCTTCCAGTGATTGTTTGTGCCATCCAGGTTTATGTGTGTACATGATGTGATGTTCACACAGTGACAAAGTGGCCTAAGGGTGCACTTCTCTGAATGTATCCCCATTGTTAAGTGATGCATGGCAGTATGCAGAACATAATGTTTATTTGCATGCATTTGAGATTGTTAACAGCATCAACTACATATTTAAACCACATTTGAGGAAAGATATTTGAATGAAAAGGTTCTTGACCAATTGTCTCTTTCTATTGTCTTTAACACACGCAGGTAAGTGTGAATCAAAATGTTGGAGCCATGAATTTTTTTCCCTTGAAGCTCTAAAGCCTGTTTCACTATCTTATGGCATGTTTTTGTCTCGGAGGGGAAGTGTGTGCTACACCCAATTTTTTTTTTTTTATTCCTTGTCTATTCCTTATTTTACTCTCCTTTTTGAGATCAGACCCTTAGAGGATTTTCCCTTTACATTCAACTCAACAAACGCTTCCTAATCATGGACTAGTGTTGCGTATTTTTCTAAGACCTGAATCTACAACAACACAAGTGATACCTGAAGCCTTCCTACTGCTTCACATCAGTTATGGGTGACTGACATCAAATACTTAATTACGAGTATGATGAGCATTATTGAAGTTCATAGGGCAAAGGTGGGCAAGCTGGAATAATTTAATGCATCTAAGGATGAAAGATCAGCTTTCTCTTGAGAAAAAGATAACTCCAAAGAGGAAGCCTTTGATACCATTGCCTATACTTTGATGGCTACTCTGGAAGGTTGGGTAGAGTTAGAATGTGGGAGGGAAAGAAGAATGGACAGATGGAGGGAGAATTATACACCCAGGCAAGGAGTGGGGAAGAGGTACCTCATGGAGGCGTGCTGGAGGATTTCATCCAAGAGAGATATGCAGAAAGGTGGGTTTGAGATGGTTTGAGTTTTAAGATGTTTTTCTAAAATAAGAGCCAAAATAAAAAGTTCTAAATATCTATGGATTGGTAAGTAGCATGACTGGCTTTTTATCTTGAAAATCTCTCCAGTTGCAGAGCTGCAGGATTGATTTGAGGATGAGATTCAAGATTCACTGCTAGAAGGCCAAACTGAAGGCCAAATTGAAGAGCTGAGCTGAAGGACAGGTTGACGGTTGTGAGAGTGGAGAACATTTCACATTCAGCCCAGCAGGACGAGGCTTTTCAGTTTGTGCAAGGGTGAGAAGAGTCAAAACAATCGAGCTTTCTTGTTTGAGCACCTGAATGGGCAACGGTGTCATTTAAGAAGTCAGGGACAATGGCACAGGACACATTTAGGAGGAAAATAGAAAATATCAGGTCTGCTCTGGCCATATTCCAGAAATACAACGGAAGTGGTTGGTGCTCACGGGACAGCACTGGGCCGGAGATAGAAGCTTGGGGAGAAGATGCAACTGCACACTCGCTGTGCGGACCAAGGCCAGAAGAGAGAGGGTTGTGCCAGGGATCACTGGAGAGAAGGAGCGTCTGGGAGAGGAGAGGGAGCAGACGCACTTAGAGCAGGTGGAGGAATGGGGCGAGTAAGGTGTCCTTGAGACCAGCCAAGAGCAGGTTTCTAGCAGGAGCCTGTCAGTGACCTCAACTGTCTCTGGACAAGGGTCTAGCAATGTCCTTGAGAGAGTGTCACAATAAGGCTCTTGTTTCTCTTGTGAGAGGAATCTCAGTGGGAGAGTGGAACTCACAACAGTTGGTGAAGAACAAAGCTCCTGAGAGAAGACGGCTCTCTGAAGAAACCCCTCTCACCCGCTGCTGGGTGGCCGTCTCCAACAGGTGTTTTTCTTTCAGAATTTGACCACTGTACGTCTTGATAAGGTAGGCTTGGTTCTCTCCTTCTCAGAAACTACAGGTGCTCCGTTTATGTGCATTTTCTCTTACGACACTTTTGATCATTGCGTCAATTTTTTTTTGCCGTCTTTCCCTGCAGAGACATCCATTCTTTAGTTGAATGCTTGTAATCTATCAGATTTATCTGTCAACATCCCCAGTATACTCCTGTTAATTTTCATTCCATATTGATTTAATAATCGATTTTTAATAATTCTATTAGTGTGCCTAAAATTAATTCTGCACTTTTAAATCAGGTTTGGGTAGCATCATGTCCTTCCTATTCAACTTGTTTTTTGAATTATAATTTTTATATGGATTGATGGCTTATGTCTGATTGTTCTTATTTCATAGAAAATATATTGCTTGTATCTAAATGACCGTTAGAGGTGGATTTTTCCTAACTATTTAATTTCATGAAGTTTTAGTAGAAGAAAATTTATTTAGGAATCTAAACAGAAAAAAAATGTGTAACTGTTATATATTTGTTATATTCTTAGTTTTAAAAAGCCACTGTCTACTTTAAAAGATTGTTTATTGAAATAATTGCGGATGGGCTGGGATTATGATTCATCGGTAGAGCGTTGGCCTAGCACGGGCGGGACCCGGGTTCGATCCTTAGCACCACATAAAAAAATAAATAAATAAAGGCATTGTGTTGTGTCCATCTACACCTAAAAAATAAATATGAAAAAAAGAAATAATTGCAGAATGATTTCCTGAAGTGGAAGGTGAGGTGGCTCCCTGAGCTGTGTCCAAGATGGTGAGTATCGTAACAGATGGGGGGAGAATGCTTTTCTTCGATGCTACTTGATTTTGTGAAATCTCATAAATTTCATGGGACAAATGCCATTTACTACTGAACAGGAGATGGCTTAGATGCAGAGGCCAAGAGACACCTGAGCAATCAAAGCGGAACTGGGAAGAGCAGACGAGGGGTCTGTTCATGAATGCGGCTGCACCTCTCCATCCTCTAGTTTCTGCACTGCTGTTACATCAGTCCTGCCCCTGGGGACCTCTGCCACTGCCCTCTCTCACCTCAACAAAGATTTCCTGGAGAAAATTTCATTTAAAAACTAATTGATAATTTTTACATGTGTGTTATTTTTAAGGAACGTGTGTGCAAAGCAGATTCTGTGGATGAGAATTGGTGAGTAAAATATATTTGCTGTTTCCATTATTTAATATTTAGATATAGGTCAATGCCGCCCCCCATCCCCTCCCCCAATTTTCAAGTTAACCCAGATCTTTCTGATGGGTGCAGAAGGATGATGGATGCTTAACATATTCTGCAGTTAGTTTTCATGACAACATTTATGTCAGATAAAATTCTTCTAGGATCTACCTGCTTTTAAAACTAATTTACTTTTTACTACACCATAGGTCTCACTAATGTTCTAAGATTCCTTTTTTTTTTCTTTTTCTTTTTATCATTTTTCTCCTTTGAGGTTAAAATATGCAAATCTGGAACCGCACTGGAAGAGGTCAGATCGTGGACATTCTAGCTAGATGACCTTTCACTGTAAAGCTGTTTCACGGGAAGACCTCCTTTGAACCCTACTTAGCACTTTACTCCTTTCTCTTGAACTTCAGAAAGTTTTATGGTTTCTTTTGATGTCTTATCACAGCATCTCCAGGTGGACTCCGCTGTTTTCAGCTGCCCCGGGGAACAGGAAAAGCCACTGGCTCCTGCGACAGTGGCTGACATTACAGTCAACATTCAGAAGTTGACAGACAAGTAACTTCATCAACTTGTGGTCCACTGTCTCCTTCACGCTGCACGGCTCTTAGCAAGAGGGTTAGGATCATAAGCAGAGAGATGGTGGGGTGAGACCATACTGAGGCTCTCTCAAGCACACAAGCTCACATTCCTCTTTAACCATCTGTCAGCCTCAGAGACTCTTCCTAAACTCCAGCACACTTTCTCCCCCAAGTCCCTTTTTCATTTACATTTGTATTCTACAAGCTCAAGTGTTTTTTCTGAGACATAGCTTTTTTTTTTTTTTTTAAAAAACTGTGATATTTGTCTAATTCTGATTCACAAATTCCCTTTCAATCGTTGCAACATTACCTGCCCCAAATCCCACACATGCATTGCCAGCCACAGAACCTCCTGCAATGTTCAGTTTCTGTGTGTGATATTTAAGCCGGAAAAACACTCTCCCATTTTATTGTGCCATTCTTCAGTCATGATCCGTGTGACCCATCAGATTCGACATTGGTTTTTATGTTCCTTCTTGGACACACAGTGTAGCAATATATCAAGGCCCAGTGTTGGGCAATAGAATTCTTTCTTTAGCTCTCTGTGAGTCAGAACCTCAGGATTTTCACAATCATCTTTAAAGTCCTCTGGCTTTATGGTACCTCATTTCCTAAAGTATAACTCTATTTACAAAGTGAGCGATTGGGAAATGGGGCAAAGAGCAGATGTGTCAAGAAATGCTGCTGCTGCAGTGTGGTAAGAGCTCTGTCCAGGTCTGCACCGAGTGCTGTGGAATTCATGCATGCCCAGAGAATTGTTATTCATGATAGCCAGAAAGTAGGAAAAACCCAATGTCCAACCGGTGAATGGGACAAAACGCAGCATAGTCACACACTGGAAATTACTTGGCAGTAAAGAGGAATGAAGAGTAGCACATGGTACAAGGAATGAGCCTGAAAACATTATGTGGGGTGATAGAAAGCAGTCAGAAAGGACCCTGTACTGTATGGTTCCATGTATGTGAAATGTCCAGAATGGGCAGAGCCCATAGCAACAGAAAGTAGATTGGCAGTTGCCCAGAGATGGTGAGGGGAGGGGTGGGAGAGAGGATGGTGGTTGGAGGAGGCAGGATTTCTTTTTGGCGTGATGAAAATGTTCTTAAATTGATAGCAGTGATGCTTGCACAACTCTGTGAATATAGGAAAAGCCATGGAGTTACAGGCTTCAAATGGGCCAATTGCTCTATATGAATGACATTTTAATCAAGCTGTTAAAAAATGCTATGGGAGCAGAGAAGAATGCATGAATCACTGACATTGTCATGGGGACGGTAACCAGCACTTACAGAACATCTGAGCCTCAGCGCAGCCTTCAGCTGGGGGCTGTCACCCCCATATACCGAGAACTGAATCTGTCCCTGGCCCCAGAGCAGGGTCAGGAGGTGGTCTCCAGCCTGTGGGACTCCTGTCAGCAGTGCTTGGTGTTTACCACACTTCCTCTCAGAGGAGGTGATGTTTTTTACTTCTCTTTAATGTATCTACAGGAGCTCATAAGGCAGGGATGGCCAAATAGGGGCATTCAGACAGAAAAGCACGTGGCCAAGGTCCCAGCAGAAAAGAGAGGATGCCTGCAATCTGGGTAATTTGAAGAGAGATAAGAGATCAACAAAATGGCCACTTTCAAGGGCATGGACAGTTCAAGGAACCAAGCTAGGGATAGTAAAGACCTGACACATCCAGGCTTGCAGGGGCACGAAGGAGAAGCTATTGTGGAACCCCGACAGGATGTTTATACATTGGAGGCTGCCTTCCTTCCACAAAGGGACACAGCAACAAGAGCATCCCAGTGTGTGAGAGCACAGACAGCAACTGCCCTGATTCATTCTCCTCCTACCTCTGATCTCTGCCAGCCCTTTTTATATACCGTACTCAGCAAGAGGCTAGAGGGCAGAGAGTGTCATGAAAGGTAGACCTAGAGGGACAAATGGAAGGTAGTCAGCAAGATGTGGAGGCATAAAAACAACAGCAAGTTCCAGGGTTGGTCAAGGGCACAGTGAACCATGGTACCATCCTAGTGGTCTCCCCTGGTTCTTGGTCTTCCCCATGTTCTCGTCCTGAACCAGGTTTTGCGTCTGTATGCCTGAGAGGTGTCCTCAAAAGATTTTCCCGAGTGAGCCCCCAAATCCTTCTTCCCTTTTCCCAAGACATTGCAGGCTCTCATTTTCCTAATTCCTTATGCCCTTGCTCTTACCCTCATGGACCGTCTCAGACAGGGAAGGCCTTCCAAGATACGTGAACTTCTAAGCTACACGCATTCTGGCTGTATGACCTTACACGAGTTATTAATCTTTGTGTGTCTTAGTTTTAACATCTGTAAAATAAGAATAATAATATCTGCCTTTAAGTTGGGTTTAGATTTTTATATTATTTTTCTCAAAAAATCTAACATAAAAATCTAGGTGGATTCTTATTAATAAATGGAGAAAATTAACAAACCTTTGTAACAGAGTTAACACAAAGGACACAAACACTTGAAACAATGGCCATGTCAGTAAACTTTGGTGGGAACAACAGCTCAACATAATTTTACAGGAAGACATTGATTTCCTGGAATTGCGTTTCCCAATATGGTAGCCACATTTGGCTACTGAGATGTGAAATGTAGCTAGTCAAAATCTATATGTCATAAAATGTACACAGACTTAAAATACAGTATTAAAATGTAAAATATCTCAATAATTTTATACTGATTATATATTAAAAGGTAATATTTGGATAGGCTGGAAAACATTGAATAACACATATTACTAAATTTAATTTCACTTGTTTCCTTTTTACTTTTTTATACTGTGGACACAAAAATTTTAAAATCACATTTGTGGTATGGTTGTATTTCTCTTCGGACTCTTCTAGAAGAAAAGAACTTTAGATACAGAAGCACTAATGAATTCGTTTTGGTAAATCTTTGCATATTAATAAACAAATAAGATCTGGGTAGAAAATTAGGTTTATAAATGTGAACTAAGACATTTTGTTTAGAAGTTGGAAGGCATGATTTCTTATAAAAGAATGTAAACATTTGTTTTGTTTTCTTATCTTCATGTTCTCCAAGGAAGAGTCAGGCATTGTATTAATTGCTCAGTGAATGCTAAGTTAAATTGACTAAGATTGGGGAAGGAACTAATTCATAAGAGAAGGAAATGGGGTGTTAGAGAATTGTGCATTTGACGGTGTACTCACTTTTACGGTGTGACTTTTAGATGATGTTTCCATGTCACTAGTTAATGTCTTCTTGTTTTAGGTTGAGGAACTCTGGTTAGCACGTCTGATGGGGAAGTCTAGTAATGATGCACTGCCTCAGCTTTGGTTTGTCATGGAATGTCTTTGTTTTTCCCTCATTTCTGAAAGTATAGCTTCCCTGATTGGAAGATTTTCCTTCAGTACTTCCAATATACCATCCTACTTTTGCCTGGCCAGTAACATTTCCGCTAAGAAATTCTCTGATAACCTTATGAATGCTCCCTAGTATGTAAAGAGCCTCTTTTTTCTTGCTGCTTTCTAATTTTTCTCTTTGTCTTTGGTTTTGGGCAGTTTGATTATAGATGGCCCCTGACTTATGAAGGTGTGAAAGCCATACTCACTCCGTAGAAACCGTACTCTGAATTTTAAATTTTGATCTTTTCTGAGGCTTGCAATTTGTGATATGATATTCTCTTCTGATGCAGGGCAATGACCATCAACTATACCTCCCAGTCAGGCACAGAAGCATGTGGATAAACAATCGATACTACACAGTGTATGTTTTTAATAAGCTATGATGTTCAGTGGGTTGACATATTAAATGCATTTTGACTTATGATATTGTCACTTTGTGATAATTTATTCAGATATATTCCCAGTGTAAATTGAGGAGCATCTGGATGAAGACTTGATAAAATCTTCTTTGGGTTGACATGATTGGATACTTTTGAGCTTCATATATTTGGATGTTCATATCTCTTACCAGATGTGAGAATTTTTCAGCCATAATTAAAATATATATTTTAAAATTATTTATCTAATTATATATTTTTCATTAAAAAATACATATTCCTTTGTATCTTCCTGTTTGGAGACTCTTAAAATGTGAATGCTAGCTCTTTTGTGGGTGTCCTGAAGACCCCATAGGTTTTCTTTGTTCTTTTTATTCTTTTTTTTTCTCCTCTGACTGCATATTTTCAAATGACCTATCTTAGAGTTCACAAATTCTTCTGCCTAATCAAATTTGCCATTCACTCTACGACATATTTTATTTCATTCTTTGTATTCTTTAGTTTCAGGATTTTTGTTTGGTTCTTTTTAAAAAAATACAATTTTTATCTCTTTATTGAACTTCTTGTTTTGTTCACGTATTGTTTTCCGATATTGTTTAGTTGACTGTGTTTTCTTATAGCTTGCTGAGCTTCTTTAAAACCATCATTGTAAATTAGTTTCAGGAAATAGAAAGATCTCCTTATTTGGGGCTGGTTGCTGGAATATTATTGTGTTCCTTTGGTGGAGTCATATTTCCTTGATTTTTCATGTTCCTTGATGTTTTGTGTTTCTGCTTTCACATTTTCAGAAATGGTCATCTCCTCCAGTCTTTATTGACTATTCTGGGGATCGTCACCAAATATCTCAGCTAGGAGTTCTGGGGCCCTCTCAGACCTTTCCAATGAATGCCCTGAGTTCACACTTTGGTTCTCTTTGGTGGGAGATTTCTTACGCTTGTGTGTCTTCTCCCAACCCTAAAAAGCCAACCTAGGTGATGCCTTGAAATATTTAAGTTGTGTACCTTCCTCCAAGTTCACAAAGTTGAGGGGCTTGTTTTTGTAAGATGCTTGCGTTTGCCTTCTGTAGGGGTATGTGTTTTAGGCAGGGTAGCTATGAGAGATAGCCCTGAGGTTGAGGAGTATTTGTGGTGTCCATGGCCACTGGTTTCATGCGGGGGGGGGGCACAAACGATGCATCTCACGTGGCTCCTGGGTGGGCTTCCTAATGGAATCTGCAGAGTGGTTAGTAGGACCTGTTACTTCCATTCCTAGCTTCAGTTTGTCCCAAACGCTCAGCCATCCTGATCACTTCTGTATTCTGCATGGGGTGAGAGAGTGGTAAGCCTCTTGGGCAACGTCCTGCCTGGCTGGAGGAGCTGGGTATGACTCACTTTTCCCCATGGGGAAAATCATGGGGTAAGGTGTCTCTTGGCACTAGGTTGTGCTGTGATGGGGGAGGATGACATGGGTAAAGTGCAACTCTTCTTTTTGCCCCCTTAAATACTTCTCAGATTTTTCTTTTCTCCAAAGCACTGGATCCTCTTTTCTGGATTCCTGGACTCCCAAAAGACACTCTTGTCCACTGGTAGTTGGTTGTCAAAATCAGTGCTTCTTTATTTGTACATGTGGTGTAAGTGTGTATAAATATAGCATGGGGGATCATGGTAGACAGCTCCTGTCCCACCACCTTGCTGACATCATTCCCCATTCCCATCACTTCTCAGGTTTCATCTCTGAGCTCCGATGGTCAGTCCTATTACCTGAGCTCCAGTGTGTACTAAGAGTGTGTGTCTATCCTTCACTTCTGTACTTAGCTTTGCAGAAGCAAGTAAATAAATAGATCCTTGAATTGGTGGTGGAATCCTCAATAGTACTAATTCCAACTTGCTTGATATGTCTGCTTTATGTCCTCATTTGTGGTGTTTACGTGGTATCTAGTAGCTCATCCCTTCATTTTAACTTTTCTTTAGCATAAAGACTGTTACACTTAATTTTATATTATATACAATTTAAAAATTTATTCTATTTCATAATTAGTATTTATTTTAATAGCAATTCCTCTTTTTCATATTGTCACTCATGACAGATCTCCTGGATTCATCCTCATTTTAAAAATATTTGCAAGGAAGTTCCTTCCATGTGTTTTACAATCACTGGTTCACACATCTTCAGTGGTATATGAACTTCTCCTCCCCGCCTTCAGTTCACTCACTGACTTGCTCAGTGGTTGGGCTGCCAGGTAAATCACAGAACAAACAATTACATTTTAATATCAGATCAACGATGAATAAGTTTCTTAGTGTGAGTATGTATAAACATAGCATGAGACATGATATACTGAATTTATTCATTATTTATATGGAATTTAAATCTAATTTAATTTGGGGGCATTTTCTGTGGTTTTCTTAAATCCTGGCAACCCTCTTCAATGGACAAAGCATATTTTCCCGAGGTCCAGACATTCTTTGCATGCACTGCATTGGAATCTCCTTAAGTGGCTTTATTTATTTGCTTGGTCAGGTTGCCCTCTGTTGTTTTTAAAAGCTCCATTTCACTAGCCAAGTGTTTTGTTGTTCTGATTGAGTTTTTTCTCCTTCTAGCCAAGTTTCCTTTAATGTTTCATTTAAAAACGGGTCATAGATCTGCTGGTCAGAGGACCCCACGTGAGGGCTGGTCTTTGATGGAAAATGAAGGGAGTTCTACACAGAAGGAAGGGGGAGGGGAGAGGGAGGGGGAGGTGGGCAGCAGTTCCTTCCTGGGGGCCTGAGAAGGAACCCTTTGGTGCCCAGCTATTTTGTACTCTTGTGTTTTCACAGATGCAGAAGATGAGTCCCCCTGTTCAGTGTCACTGAGATGTCTTCAAGGCCACAGACCCCAGAGGTACTCAACAGGTCTCACCGTAGGAGTCCTCAGATCCCCACGTGCCATACTGAATCTGTCACTAAAATTCAGGTGCTAGCCTCATGCTTCTTCCTCAGCTCAAGGTGAGGAAACCCAATGGCAGCTCTGTCCCCTGGGACCCATTTCTTGCTATTCCCCCTCCATCCAAGTAAGAAACTGACCTCTTCCAGAGAGGAACCAGACAGAAGTGGGAGAGGGAGTGGGCGTTGAATGCATTGAATGGCCTAAAAGATGCAAGTTGCTTAATAAAACAACAAGGTGTGGTGAAAGACCCCATAAAAAATCAGAAAAAAAAATTTAAACCTATTCTGCTCTCAAAATATGTCACGATTGCCTCTAACTTCCCACCTCCATCTTATTTTTCTTTACATATGTTTTTATTACTCTGTTTTAAAGAAACCAAAAGTGAAAATCAGAGAGGAAGCATATGAGTGTGGTCTATGCAGAGAAGACTACACGGATGTACATCCTGTGCTGTCCAACACAGCACGTGCAGCTGTGACCATGTGGCCCATAGTGCCTGCATTACACCAAGCGTGAACACTGTATCTCCAGAGAGTTCCTCTGGACACTGATGCAGTCATATGTCCCGTGCACAGACAAGTCCTTGCCGGTCCATTTCAAACATTGGTTAGCCAATGTGCCTATGCACATCTCAAGGTAAATGGCATGTTTAATGCATGTATTGTTTTAATAGCACCATGCAACCTGGAGACCATTATGCTAAGTGTGCTAAGCCAGACACAGAGAGATCAATAGTGCATGATCTCACTTCCATGTGGAATCTAAGGAAATCAGGCTCATGGAAGTAGAGGGTAGAATGATGTTTGCAGGTGCCGGAGATGGAGGGCAAGGTAGGGAAAGGGAGATGTTGGTGAAAGGTGGCCAACTTTCATTCTCACAGAAGGAATCTATCTTTGAGATCTATGGCATAACAGGGTGACTCAAGCTAATTTTGTAAATTGTTGGAAGAGTAAATTTCGTTTTTGTTTTGTTTTGCTCTGGGTAGCACTTTACCACGGAGCCACATCCCCAGTCCTTTTTATTTTTCATTTTGAGACAGAGCCTTGATAAATTGCTGAGCCTGGCCTTGAACTTCTGATCCTCCTGCTTCAGCCTCCTGAGTCACTGGGATTGCAAGCATACATCACTGCGCCTGGTTAAATTTGAAGTCTTATCACAAAAACGGTAATTAATCGCAGTGATGGGTAGCTTAATGATCTTGATTTAATCACTCCACACTGTTTATATCAAAACATCACAAATGCATATATTATGATTTGTTTTTTAAAATAACGTTAATTTTAAAATTCCAGTTTTTAGTCTACTTCAATCTCATTGGAGAGTAAGACTCTTCTGGGGTTCTAAGTCATTATGTGCCTAATGAAATGATTAAATATTGACTTAGAAGAGCACAGGGGCAGGAGTTGAAGAGGAAGGGGTTCTGCCTGTTCATAGTTAAAAGTCAATAGTGTTTTATTAGTTAGGGGACACAATTAGGATGGACTTCACTGGAGGACACATGGTCCGGCATTTTCCTCCCTGCCTGTGGACTTGGGGGACTTCTGCCCCCTGGGCATCAGATGGAGAAGGCTGTCCTGGCCAGCCAAGCTCTGGGGTGGCCTAGTTTTCCTGTGGCAGAAGCCAGCTCAGACCCCTGCTCCCGCCCTGCCCGCCTGCTCTCCAGGCCACACTCCTGTGCTTCCTTCTTACCTGTGGTTTTCTCCCCTGCCTCTGAGCTCACAGGGCAGGGCCATGCCTGGTTTTGCTCCTTCCTGGATGCTCAGTGCTTAGCACCTAATGAGGCGTCAGTAAATGTGGGTGGAACGGGAGATTAAGTTAGCAAAGGGCGAGCTCCCGATGATCACAGGTCTGCACCAACCAGGTTCTGTTCCGTCAGGAAATGGGAGCCCGGCTGCTGGCGGCAAGAGCTCACTGCATCTGTTTACATTTATGCATTTGACCCCCAAATATGTCACCAGATTTTACGACTTATTTATATGTCTTGGAAATACTGCAGACTCAAGTTAAGGCTGAAGAGAAAAAAAAAAAACATTGAAGAATTGGTTGCATGTTTTTGAAAACGTTTCAATTGCATTTTTTTTCTTATCCAAAAGGCAGAAAGCTTAGTGTCTCTAAATCTTTAACATAAGTATCCTCCTTTAAAATTCTTAAGCCCCTCTGTTAGTGAATCTCTTCCTGCAAGTTTATGATGCACTGGGACAACAATGAGGTCATTTTAGTGGGATACACAGGGAAAGAAGAATGCCACAACAGGAAAAAATGAGCTTTAACTCTACTTCATCTTAAATAAAAACCAATAACTGCACAAGAAATCATCAGAATCTTTGAAAAACATGGATAAGCAGTCTTTACATGGCCATTGAGAGCTTAACTGTGTACGCTAGAAAAAGTTCTTTTTCAAGGACTTGAAATTAAAAAGCACGTTGCAAATTATATGCTCAAACAGGCAGATTGCAGTGACTTCTCATCCCAGGACTTCCAATGCCTTTGTGAAAGAAATAGTAACAAGGAACTTTCTACTGGCGTAAGCTATAGGAAATAATTTTGATTTTTAGAAACTGATAGGATTTCAAAACAGGAAAATCTTCAAAGCAGATGAATTAAGAAAAACAAAAACCAAAAAACAAAATATTTCTTCCCAAGGCAACATTCATGCTCTTGGAATAGCTGAGTCCTCCCCCTGTTGACCTTTACCCTCACCCTGGAAGCAGTAATGGTGACTTGGCTGCCATTTTCCCATCCTCCTCGTGAGCAACGTGGTGTCCTGAGGTCTAGCCCTCAGACAAAACTCGATTTTGTTTTTGCTGTTACAGTCTCTCTACTTGGAGAATGAAATATACATCTGAATCACAGGAAGGAATGGGCATGAGAACTTTTCATTTTTCAAATTTATGGAGGCAAAAGAATTCTTCTTACACCAACCCCCTTGTAATTTCTCTTGGAACTGTCTCCTTTCCAGAATCTTGGGGCATTTGGAAGACTCAAAGATATAAACATACAACAAATTGGTTTTTGGAAACAGAATAGTTTCTTGTCCTCTTTTCCTAGTTTTGTCCCTGTTCACCGTGAACATCTGTAAATGTGATCACCGGGAAACATAAGTTGAGTGGAAACAGGAATTGTACTGTAGCCATGAAGCCGGGGACCAAGGTCTCCTGTCCCCATGCCTCCTCTTGACCCTCTTCTCCACCTTGGCTCTGACCTGCTTCCCTTGGCACAGCTGATGTGTATCTTTATCATCCTTATGGTCAGGGCAAAGCCTGTTCAGGTGGGTTGGAAACTTTCAAGGGCCGCCATTTTGGGTTCTCATGGAATTACTTTGAGAGATCGGTCAAGACACAACATTCCTGAAGAGAGGAACAGATACACAGAAAGCCTGGTGCCACCCGGGGGGCTGCCTTTTCCGGGATCCCCGCTGTTCCTTCTCTTGTGATATGGGAGCCATTCTCTTTGGTGTGCCATGGCTGAGCTCCATGATCTGTGCCAGCACCCAGCACACTTGGCTACAATTAACTATTTTCCTGACGTCCCTCATTTGATTTGAACTCAGAGAGAACAGTGACAGTAAATATCACGCCTTATGTGATATTGGTGTGGCTGGCAGAGTGCCGTGGTGGTGCAGGGCATCACATGGCAGGAGAGAGCAGGCACATATGTGCATATATGTCCTTCTGCCCCCTCTCCCTCTTCTTAAAAAGCCACCAGGGTTCAATCATGGTGGCGCCACCCCAATGACATTGTCTAATTCTAATCACTTCCTGCAGACCCCACCTCTAAACACCACAGTCGGATTATTTTTCTATGCTCTAAATACCTCACAATGGATATTAAATTTCAACACACGAAGCCTCAGGGGCACATTCAAACCATCCCAACCACACAGCGGCTGGTATTTTCTTTATCTCCCCATTAAAAGATCCCCTTCTAATATTATTCTCCCACAGTTGCTTAGTCTCCTAACTTCCTATGCAAACTTATTATTATTTTTTTTTTTTACAAAGGATGTCATCAATTTATCGATATGTTCAGGAGGTGGACCTTTTCCCAGAAGCACAACATTGTAATGGGATATCAAATGTTAAAGATGCCCCGTCCCCACAAGTCCTTCACCTGGAACAGCCTTACTAGCACCAGGTCTCTAGGGAAGTCTGTGGAGTTCTGTGACTTGCGAAGTCCCTCCATCTAGACGTTAAACCCCCAGCTCCTCCTAGTTGTGCTTCACTTCCGCTGTGTCCTGCTGCATCGGTGGTTCCCCCAGGGGCTGGGCTGCTTGTAAGCCCCCAAATATGAGTAAAAGAAGGAAAAATTTAAATTGATCATTGGGTCTTGCTAGCAAACCTTGTTAGCCAGTTTTTTTGTCCTTGTGACAAATAACTGAGAAAAACAACTCAGAGGAGGGAAAATTAATTTGGCTCTTGGTTTCAGAGGCTTTAGCTCCTGGAGGTCTGGCTCCATTGCTTTGGGCCTGAGATGTGACAGAACATCCCAGTGGAAGGGCGTGGTGGGGGAAAGTGCTCCACTCACCACAACTGGGAAGCAGAGAGAGAGGACAAGGGCAGGTCCAGGGCATGTCCCCAGGGACCTGCTTCCTCCAACCCTGCCCCACTGCCTATGGTTTCCACCACCTCCCAACCGTCCATTCAACTGTCAGTGGATCAGCCCACCAAGCAGCCCTCTGACCCAAGCACTTCTGGAGAGCCCGCCTCCAACATGGCGGCACTGGGGACCAACCTTCAACACCTGAGACTCTGGGGGACATTCCAGATCTGAAGCACAACGCATACTGAAAATTGTATAAAGGTTCAATTGGATGTTTTGACTTTGGCCGTTGGGATGAAGCCAAAGTCTGCATTTGAGTTGTTTGTAGTTCTTCTTCAAGTAGTTGGGGCAGAGTGCTTCTTGGACAGCCAGAACATCACAGAGTTCACAGGAAGACTAAAACGCTTCTCACACCCCCTCAGCGTCGGTGTTCCTTGGTGGGTCTGGGGCGGTTGGGAGGAAGTTCTCCACAGCACCCAGGGGTGAGCAGAACCAAACAACAGGTGCAGGGTTGGCAGATCAGTGTTTGTCACCTGGGTGCCATTTTGCGTCTAGTGGGACTTTTGGCAGCGTTGGGGTGCAGTTTGGGTTGTTACAATTGGGGCGGGGTGCCACTGGAATCTAGGGATACTGCTTAACCTCTGCAGTTCATGAGAGAGCTCCTACCACTCAGCACGATCTGGACCCCACAGCCTGTAGTGCCACGGTGGAGATGCCCCCCAGCAGAGAATGCTGAAGGTCCAAATTAGGGAAGCAAAATCTATCAGTGGCAAGAAGGGTGCATGTGGGAAGCTAATCGAAAAGTCAGAACACAGGTGGACTCTGGGAACTGACAGTGAGGATCAGAAGCAGAAAAAACAGGGGAGCCAAGAGCATCTCTGTGATGCAGGGTGCGCCCCCAGAGATCCTGCAGTGCATGGTGCGAAGCGGGCTCACTCTAGGCTGGGATTGGAGCGTGCCTTCATGGAGGCAGGTGGATGAGCCAGGGAAGGTAGTAGACCCCTGGATGGGTACCAGCTACCCCGGAAGTCTTGAAGGATTTGTGCAAGCACAAATGAGAATCCACGGCAGCCAGTAAGGCGCCCAAGAACCGAATCTAGGACACCACCGTGGAATTTTGCCAATTCAAAGAACATATGACTGTGGGCAGCCCTGGGGAGCCACGGGGCTACGGGAGTTCCTGGTGGAGGAGAGACTGCAGGGCAGCAAGCGAGGACCCTGAGGTTTGGGGTGAGCCAGGCGTCGGCTGTGAGGAAGAGGTAGTGAGGAAAAGCACTTCTCTTATCCCTCAAAGCCTCCAAGTTAACCTCACACGGTAGCTGTGTGACGGTGTCAGTGGGGGAGGTGAGTAGGGTTCAGAAGTGGGGAAAGGAGGTGGCTAGCCGAAGCTGAGGCCTGACCCCGTCCCTTCCTCCTCCCCATTCCTACTCCCTCAGGCACAGATGGTCATAGGATTTCTCTTAGTATCTGAAATGGGGATTGAGCCATTTTATTTGGATAATAAAAGTTTATCTGGGTGATAAATGAAAAGGTGCTCTCAGCAAGGTGGACAGTGCCTGGAGACGTCTGGTCTACAGAACAGGCAATGAGAATCGTAGGGCCGTGGTGGCATCTGCCAGTTCTGC